ATTACTCATTAATTTTTTCAATTTTTATTAACTTCTCTCTTGATCATTTTTCCAAAACTCTTATTCTTTCTCATCTCTCTCTCTCTCTCTCTCTCACACACACACACTAGAAAATACCACCATTGTAGCTATGGCCATGGCCATCCACCTGCAACCACCATCGTCGTCCGTCACTAACCACCTTCACTGGTCACCACCACCACCTTCGCCGGCCACTACCACCATCACCAACCATCTCCACCGTTGTCGATCTATACTTCACCATCTCCGATCAACCGCCACCGTTTACTAACTACCTCCACCATCATCGATCTACACTACGCAATCGTCGATCTACACTCCAACATCCTAGATTTACATCGACTTAGTTGTTTCTATGGTGAAATCAACTTCAAACGACTACAAGCAACATTGATTCTCCAGATCTCACCTCCTTTTTCCTCATTCTCTCCCTCTCTCTCTCTCTCTCTCTCTTTGTATTTCTCTTAAACCAAATCTGCTGTATCAATGATAAATGTATCATTGATATATTTCTTTGAATCTTGTGTTAATTTATGATGATGATGACGAGATTTTTTTTTTGTAATTTTTTAACAAACAACTAGTGAGAAATTTATCATCGAATGCGTTTATCACTGCTAAATTTATTATTGAATATGTTTTTGAATCTTGTGTTAATTTGTGACGATGATGATGAGATTTTCTTTTTGTAAATTTTTAACAAATAGTCAGTAATAAATTTATCACTAAATGTGTCTATCGCTGAGTATGTCTTTGAATCTTATGTTGATTTGTGATTTGTGATTATAAAGACTAAATTTATCACTGAATATGACTCCTTACCTACCTCCTTCATTTTCTTCATCCATATTCTTCTTATTTTCTCTTGTTGCCAGCATGGTGGTATTGACATGGTGGAAATAGAAAATGGCCAAAACAAAATATTGTCAAAGGTTGGAAGTGGTCTTCGGTGGCCGGTTAAGAGAGAGAGAGTGTGTGTGTGTGTGTGTGGAACGATTGAGCGATTTCTACGTGTGGGCTGAATGTCAAGGGTAAAATGGAAAGATGTGCTAGATTATTTTGGGTCAAGACCTCATGGAAATTAAATCAAGTTTAAAGGACCGACCTATAACTCCCCCAAAAAAATATGAGTTTAGACCTAGGCCTAAGCCCAGTCATAACAGCCTAAGCCAAAAATGATAAGCTTAAACGCATCCTTTGAAACTTACAAAGGGTAGCCAGCAACAACTTGCCATCTGATTAAGGCGCATGGGGGACAAAGCAATTATAAAAGATAGCCTTTTAGAAGACTAAATTTGCTAAGTAAAGGAGAGGTGTTGGATAAACCTTCATTCAACGATGGGAGGCATAGAACATATAAGACTAGGATGCATATTGGGCCTGGTGAGAGGCAGAATTGTTCAATCAGTTTAATCATATGGACATGACGTTCGACAAGTTAGCCACTGACATCTGATATCATCTAAACCATCCATACACTAATGATTTAACAATCAGAGGCAAAGTACACTTGGCAAGTTGTTTAACCAAAGCCAAGTTTTCCTCCAATCAAAGCAAGATTCAACGAATGAGATTTGAGCTAGATTCAACGAATGAGATTTGAGCTAGAATAGCTATAAAAGGGTAGGCAAACAAGGCATAAAAAATGAGTAGATTCTATCTAACCCAACCAAAACTCAATAAAATCCTATACTAGAAATATTTTCCTTTTATACTATACATTATGGTCGATCATTGTGCTGACTCGTCAGAGGGTCATTATGGCCAACCCTGGTTGGAAGTGATCACTAACATTTGCTTTCTCTTTGCAGAGTGTAAAGAATTGGGTATATCAATTCATCTCGTTTTTCTTGTGAAGATAATTTTACCTTTCATATTGGGTGAGAAGGACATTATTGTTTTGAACATTTTTTCCCCTTATTTTTACCTCATAATGCCAAGCTTACGGTGGCCAATAATCGAAAAAGTTGTTGGAAGTGGCCGAAATCGACGACTGGTGGTGGTGATAGTGGTGATATAGACAAATAGATAAATTAAGGTCGAAATATATGTGACGCATGAATAAATGGAGAGATGACATGTAAATAAATTTTTAAACAAATAATAGATATATTGATAAATAGGTGACTAGTAGGCAAATAGAGAGATAGATAGATGGTCTTTCAAATAATTTTGTACTTTTGGCTCAAAAATATAAAGCTTGGATTATAGTCCCCCCAAAAAAAAAAGAAAAAAATATTATTGCCCCAATCTCCTAAAGAAAAAATGTACAATTTTTTTAAGTATTTTTTTTTTCCACAACAAATCTTAAATCCAAGATACACATCTTCCACGCGGGGTTACATTATTAGCCGTGGCCATTCAATTGGGAAGAGGTGTGGTGTAGAGCATCACCGCCTATCATCGTCATTTATTTATTTATTTTGATCAGATCATCATCATTCGTAACTATAAATGACTTATTTATTTTGAACAGATCATCATATTCGTAACTAGTGGAGTTTTCGCGGCTTAGTTGCGGAAACTTATAATTTGTCATTTATTTGTCAAATTAGAAGATTAAAAAAAATTAATTCGCATCTATTTATCAAATTGATAGATGTGGATTGGATGAATTGATGGATAGATACGAATCGGTTTAGTTATTTAAATTTTTACAAAATTTGAATATAATATAATAATTTGTCAATATTTTTTTTTAGATAATAATCCAACTCAACATAATTAAAAAATTATCAAGTAAATTGTCAATACATATAAGAAAACCATGCATTATTAAAACTATTTCATTATTATTTTTTATTTAAAAATTATTTAATTTGATTTTTTTAAAATAATGACAAAATTAAGCTTTATATTTTTCACACAAAAATACTAAATATCAACCCTTACCATTTGATAAAAAGATTTTTATTAAAAATACAACAGAATATCTAAACTCTTTTTTAATTGAAAATATAAACAAAATATTTAAATAAATTAAAAACTTAAAATCTTACAAATTACTAGGGGCGCTTGTAGTTTGACGGTTCAATTACAGTTAAAGAAACTTTTAATCTGCCATTCATCTAAAACTAGACTGATTGGAAGAAATTAATAGACAGATAATCATTTACTTATCGTCACGCATCCATTTAAAATACGACAGATGAATTCAATCCAATCAATTTAAACAAATATCCACAGCTAGTGGAATGTTTTGAAAAATTAATAAAAAATTAATTTTTTAACTTTTTTTACTCTATTTTAATTTTTTATAAATAAAAAATATAAAAAATAATATGACTTAAAATGAATAAAAAATTAAAAATCGGCGTTTTTGGTTCTTCCTAAAAAAGAACCCACGAAGAACGTAACAGATTTTTAATGATTAAAAATTCGCAGTATAAGTCATATTTGGGCCCACATAATATCAGCGATTTATTTAATGATGCATTTTATATTATTTATTGATTTGTTTGTTTGTTTATTTGTTAAATATTTTTATTTTTTAAGGGTTCAGCATTTGCTTCTTGGATCGTTGTCGGTTATCTAAACCAACCAACCCAAAAATAATTAGAAGTAAATAGTAAAAATTATTTAGACGACAAAATATAAAAAAGAGAAAGTAAAATTGTCAAAAGAACAAATTATATGATTTATTTACCAAAAAAATAATATTATGTATATAGAAAAATTTATATAATTATGTAAAAATCTAATATATAACTCATATGTATTTGTAGGTAGTTTCCACAATTTTAAAATTAAAAGTTTAACATATTTTCCATTTTATTATATGTTATTGTTACAGCAAGACATAATATATAGCAAAATTTATAACAACACTATTATAGGAATTATAATCTTTATAAAATTGAGAAATGTTACAATTATTAAAATATTTCATAAATTTCTTTTACATTTTATGTGGCAGATAACTCCCATAATTTATTAAAGAAAAATGTTAAAAAAAATACATATAACCTTAAAATTTGTGAAATTATTTTGAGATATGTAAAAATTGTATTAAAATTATAAATATTTTTACAATAATTTTTTTATTGACAATCATAAAAAATGTCATTAACAAGACTTTCTAATAAATATGATTAGTCTTATGTATATATCTATAGAGTGAGTTTAGGTGAATCACAAGTTTCGACTCAACTTGCAAAACAACTAGAATCGTTAAAGACAATTCTTAAATGGTTTATCCTGCAAAACATTTAGAATTGTTGAGCTCTCAACGATCCTAATTATTTTTCAAAATAAGTTAAAACTTAAGTGTAATATTTTGCTATTTACTAGTGTGAGGGTAAACTCACCCTCTACAATACATATGACTTTTATTACATTAGTACATAAAAAGGTAAAACAAAATAGTGAAACAAAATTATTAATAAATTTTTCTCCAGAATGTTTTATTTTGAAAAAATTACAAAAAAATATAAAGATTTGAATCTTATAATAAAACAAACAATGAGTTTTTAACTTTAATTTTTTGATTTATTTTCAATATAAATTATTTTTTATTTTTGTTAAAAAAATAAAAAAATATATTTTAATTTGTAAACTCAATAAAAAAATGATATCTTAGACATTTGTCATATCAATTTTATTTAACAAAAATATACAAATAATTTAAATTAAAAATAAATCAAAATATTAAAATTTGAAATGACAAAATTAACAAGCTCTATTTTTTTTATATTTTTTTTTATATTTTTGCTCTGTTGAAGGTAGAAAGGGGAAAGAAAAGGTATTGAAATGATTAGCCAGTAAGTAGAGTCGAAAATCTGTCCTAGATTATTTATTCTATGTTTCTTTCTTTTGATTCAAAAAAGCTTTTTATTCTCATTTGATCCCTTCTTCACTAATAAATAAAGAAGAAAATACATACATACATATACATATACGTATATATATATATAGAGAGAGAGAGAGAATGTGGGTAAACCTGTTGATTTCATGTGTACATCTCTCAGGGATGAATGGTAAGAATAAGTTTTTGTATTTTACCATGATTCAGGCATTGTCTTCTGGCTGACATTTATTGAATCTCTCTCTCTCTCTCTCTCTCTCTCTATACGTATATATATATGTATGCATTTGTAAATGTATATGTAATGTTAGATGTCCGGTAATATCGGCGCAAGATAGAGTATTTATCGAATTGATTTAACAAATCTTATCGATTTCGGCGTCTGCCACCGTCTCTCCGCACTCTCGTCCTCTCTCAGATCTACGTTTTGTGTGTCACTAATTTGTAATTTTCACACACTCTTTAGAGAGAGCGAGAGAGAGAGAGAGAGTCTGTGATTGAAATCAAAGTCCTGTGTTGAATTGGAATATTATACTATTTGTGATTGTAGTGTATAGATAGATAGATATAGGTCTCTTTCGTGGTTTGGGTTTTTCTTTCTAGAATGAATAGTTAATTGGGCGGTGAGGGATTTGTACGCAGAAGTAATATTCACGAGAATTGCATTTGGGATCGAACTCTATTAGTAGACGATAGTGTGCAAGTGAAATCACTCAAATCTCTCAAAGTATTCAACAAATCCCTACTCTCTCTCTCTCTCTCATCGCTAAATCTAGAGAGAGAAAAGACAGTGTGAAAGAAGAAGAAGAAGAAGAAGAAGAAGGAGAAGAAGAAGAAAAAGAGGAGAAGGGTAGTCGGAGCTTGGACGAGAAGACAAAGACTGAGTTTGTATTGTATTGTAGCTACTCATGAAAACCGCAATCTAGGGGCTTTGCTCTTACTCTCTGCATATTTCAGGTAGTGTTTGTATTCTGTAACTAGTTTTTTTTTTTTTTGTTTGGATTCTGTTTTCTTTTATTGTTTTGGATTTGTTTGTCAAATATATTCGATTGATTCAAATGGGTTTTTATAGTTTCTCAGTTTTTGAGGTAATTTAGCTGATTTGAATTTCGTTTGTAATGAAACTTGTTGCCCCTGTATTTCCTTCCGATGTTAAGGACCTCTTTTTTAGTGATAAAAATGCTCCATAAAAATGTATTTCTTTAAATTATACTTGTTCTTCAAATAGCTTTCTTTCCTTTTCTGGTTTTACTGTTACAAACGATCGGGTAGTTTAGTCTTTTGATGACAGATATAAAATATGGTTGTTTTCTCAATCAAAACAATCCTAATAATCCTATGTTAGGCTTCTGAGTATTATGGATCTAGTACAGAAAATGGAAAATGGATCTTATCCTGGAGTACACCAAATTTCTTTTTTTTCATGTGTTTAGCTTTTTTGGGTGAATACTAATGTGTTTAGCTCATTTCACTGAAAATCTTTTTTGGGCTTTTTTGTTTACTGTTATTCCCTTCAATTTGTGCCAGTGCTCTGGTGCTGACAACTTTTCTGGGTGTCTGTCTTTCTCCAATTGGGTTGTGTTTGTGTGGTTTTCAGATTGGAAAATGTCAAGGCCACTACATCGAGGTGTATCTGGTGGGGGCCGATTCTCAGGCAACAATCATGTTTTCTGGAATGATTCTGAGCTGAAAGACAAAACAGACAAGGAAGATCATCGTTCCTCGTACTTATCTTTTAGATTCCCTTTTCGATTTCTTTTTCCGGATAATTCATCTTCTAAACTCGGTCTTAGTGAGAATGGTTTTGCACCTGATCCCTTCAATACCGGAACTTTAAGAACTCGCCACAAGTTAACTTTGCTCTTACTAAAGTTCAGTTTAGTTGTGATTGTAATTCTTGCTCTTACTGGATCCTTTTGGTGGACAATTTCGATCACAACTTCATCAAGAGGTCACATAATTCGCGGATATAGGCGTATCCAAGAGCAAATTGTATCAGACCTATGGGATATTGGAGACATTGCTCATGGTTCTGCACGGTTGAGAGAATTGGAGTACTGTCCTGAGCAGTCTGAAAATTATGTTCCGTGCTTCAACGTTACGGAGAATGTTGGTTTGGGTTTTTCTGGAGGTGAAGAGCATGACCGCCATTGTGCACAAGGATCAAGGCAAAATTGCTTGGTTCTTACACCTGTCAATTATAAGATTCCTCTTAGATGGCCTACCGGAAAAGATGTCATCTGGGTTGCAAATGTTAAAATTTCTGCAGAGGAGGTACTTTCCTCCGGAAGCTTGACCAAGAGGTAAGTGGGGGTACTAATGTCATTTTTTCAGAAACTATTCTACATCAAGCCCTGATTCCTGAACCTGTTTTGGTTTTTAATTCAATTGGGATGTAGGATGATGATGTTGGACAAAGAGCAAATTTCCTTCCGTTCAGCATCTCTTATGTTCGATGGTGTTGAAGACTACTCACATCAAATTGCAGAAATGATTGGGCTGAGAAATGAGTCTAACTTCTTACAAGCTGGAGTAAGTAGACATTAAATGTTTTATGGAATCAGCATTTTTGTAATATCTCTTGTTTCATTGCTTTTATTGTCCTCCACTATCTGGGCTGGTCTTAGTTTTGTTGCATCCCTTGATCTGATACGCTGGAATTTTAAAGAAAATTCCATGTTGTGATCAGTCAATTTACTGAAGTGCCTATCCATATTGATGATTATTGCAATGATTAATCTCAGTTACCTTTTATTCTTTTGTCACAAAAATTGCCAAATGCAATTACATTACTAGTTTCCTTCCATCTATGCTCAACCCTCATGTCTGGAAATGATAATTATATTTTCATTTCTACTTATAATTGCAAGTAAATAGCTCATGTGAAGACAGTTTGCACACCCAATGATAAAAGCTTTTGTAATATTTCTTTGATGTTTGTTGTATGCAAGTTGAATTTGGACCAGTCTTGAAAAGACCCAATTTGGACATTTCCTTGCTTTTTGGTAAATGAGTAGTATGCTTATCAACATATTGGGACTCCTCAACTAGATGTCTAGTTTTTTCTTTAATTTATGGGTAATAATTCATTATCATGTCCAAAATGATTGTCAACAAACAGTTTAGGCAAGACCTAGTAATATGCATTGGCATTGGTAGGGCAACATCAACTGAAACCGTAAAAACATTTCAGGGTTTTTTATTGGATATACATCTGATGGACGAAAAAAAATCATTTAGTTTGGCACTATTACAGAATAAAAACAAGAATCTAACAAATTGATGCTTCACTTCAATGTTTCAGGTTAGGACCATCTTGGATATAGGATGTGGTTATGGTAGCTTTGGAGCACATCTCTTTTCAAAACAACTGTTAACCATGTGTATTGCAAACTACGAAGCTTCAGGAAGCCAAGTTCAGCTGACTCTTGAAAGAGGTCTTCCTGCAATGATTGGTTCTTTTGCTTCAAAACAGTTTCCATATCCGTCTCTCTCCTTTGATATGGTGCATTGTTCACGATGTGGCATTGACTGGGATCAGAAAGGTATCAGTTGAAGGCTAGTTATGAAAGCAATGCTTATGTAGGACGCTTGTACTATCATGCATGGCAGATGCATATATTTATAATTGCAAACATATTGCTTACATTTGATGCGCTTTAGTACTGCAATTTGTTTGCAGTTATCTTCAGTTTTCTTTAATAGAAGATAACCACATCAAGATAGTATCAAAAGCTGTTTTTGGTTGACAATTTATCTTTTCTTAATCTCAGACATAATCAGTTTTATTTTCCTTTGTTTATTTATTTATTTTTGGTTTTGTTTTGGGGTTGAAATCTCATTCACAGTGATCAGTGGATTATAAGAATATTCATCTAGTATGTTCTTGTATATTGACCAAAGAAAAAAAAATCTAGACAGGGGGGCAGGATCTGTCTAGTGCTTGATCTGCTTACCCAGACAGATACAGAGTGGCCTTTGTTCAACTAACCATGCTCTATGCTATTTGCAGTATATAGATAGATGTTAAATATCTTTCCTTTGGTTCTCGTGCTCTCTTGCGTAATGTAAAAATTTAAAACCTTAGTAGAGATCCAGACCATCTTATGTATCTTTAGATGTATTTTAGAAAGCCTACCAAATGAAATTCTAGGCTTTGCTGAGTTGGCCATGCTATTTTAGGCATCTACTCAGTTCAGTGATACTACAGACTTCATTTTGATAAGTAGTGACGTTGCAGAATTTTGTTTAGTTTATTTATTTATTTATTTTATTTTATTTATTAAAATAAAATATGTATTCTGAAGGAATAGCTAGACTAATATGGTTTTATTGCCACTTGAGTAGAAAGAAATTTAAAAAGGGAGGTGTTTCATTCTATTTTCTATCCACCTTTGGCAAATATTACGTGGATTTCAGATATTTCAATTTTCATCAACGTTAAAGTTGGTAATATATTGCACATGTGGGTGGCAAAAGCATTGCTGATCTAATGACCTTCAGGTTTCAACCTTTTAAACCACAAAAATTGTCCAAAGCCATTTGCTTTTGGTAGATCTTTTATCCTGAGAACTTTTGTGAACCTACCTTCCAATTGTAACTATTCATGAGGTTAATTGACTGAGGAAATGGTAAATAATGCACTGCTTTGTAAGCAGTTTGCTGAATAAGATCTGTGTATTTTGTTGGCCAAATTTTCATCTAGTAGTCTGACGCACTGAACTCTATAGACGTTTTAAAGCTTAAAAACTATCATAATTATTGCTTTTTGAGACTCCACAAAGCTAGTGCTTGTTAGGAAACAGTGTGTATTTGTCATGCTTCATCTGTTGTTGAACTTTTTTCATAGAATATCATGTTGCTGTTATGCATAAATTATTCATTAATATTAAATACAGAATATTTAGTTGGTTTCCTAGCATTTGGGCTAATGTGTCCTGCTGTGGGGTCGAGAATGCTGATTTTCGAAAGTACACTTTCTGTCATGTGGTTGCAGAGGGTTTGCTTTTGATTGAAGCTGATCGAGTATTGAGGCCTGGTGGATACTTTGTGTGGACTTCACCACTTACCAATGCTCCGAGCTCTCATCGCAACAACGAGAATCAGAAAAGATGGAAATTTGTGCTCAATTTTGCAGAAAGTCTCTGCTGGGAAATGTTGGCGCAACAAGACGAAACTGTTGTCTGGAAAAAGACTAGTAAAAAGAGTTGTTACAGCTCTAGGTGAGGTTACTGATTAATTAATTTATTTATTTCACATTTTATTTTTATAAACTAGTCAAATGTTTTATGACCATGGAAGTGATAAGCAGTCCTAATTTGTGGTTTGAACTGCTTCTATTTCTAGGAAATCTGGATCTGGTCCCTTCATCTGCAGTAAGGGCCATGATGTTGAATCCCCACACTATCGACCACTCCAATCCTGCATAGGAGGAACTCACAGCCGTCGATGGATTCCTATTGAAGAAAGGCCAACCTGGCCTTCTAGGTCTACTAGATTTAACTCAAGTGAACTTGCATATTATGGTAATTTATACATTTGTTAAGATGGCTTTTTTTGGTAAAACCTTAAGTAAACACGGCAGTTAGAGAAGCACTTTGGCGCTACATTGGTAGCATAAAAACTTTCACTCATCATTTCGTCTGCCTTAGGTATATCCTGAAGGGTTTTAAATATCAGCTGTTACGTTTTGTATCGGCAGTTACATATCGGGATTTTGGAGTTCTAATACCGTTATTCATTAATATATCTGCAAATATTGTCTGATATAATATTGGCTGATATATGTTTGTATTGCCGATACCAATACATAGCCTAATACCGATTGATGATTTTGTCAATGGTTGCCATGTTTACCAGGTCTGCATCCAGAAGACCTTGCTGAGGATAGCCAAAACTGGAACTTTGCAGTTCGTAACTATTGGTCTCTTCTCTCACCTTTAATATTTTCTGATCATCCAAAGAGACCTGGTGATGAGGATCCTTCTCCACCTTATAACATGCTCAGAAATGTGTTGGACATGAATGCCCGTTTTGGTGGTTTCAATTCAGCTCTGTTGGAAGCTGGAAAATCTGTTTGGGTCATGAATGTTGTCCCTACAGATGGACCCAACTCCCTTCCCTTAATCCTTGACAGGGGTTTTGTTGGAGTATTACATGACTGGTGAGTTCTACCTCAAAGAAATTGCTTTCAATATGTCCTATGAAAACCAATACTGCATTAGCAAGTAAAATGGGCAACTTATTTTGCAGCGTTCAAACCTTGAAAATGTGACGACTGCTGACAGTGATAGCTATTTTAGATTAATTTCTATAGACTTTGTGGCTGTTGATTTGTCTGTATTGAGATTCATTTGTAAGCTTTTCTTACTGAAGGGATTGATTTGTCTATTGGTCATCTTGATAGAAGTATAGAACCCCCAAACTGTGTTGTCAAGAGGACCTTGACCTTCTTTTATTTTTCTTGAACTACAGTTATAATTACACCTCATGTCATATAAAATAAATTTGTGTTTAATCTACTTTCTGGTGGTTACATGCCAATTGCTATTTCGAATTGGTAAGTGAAAACAATCCCTTATAGCATTACGAAAAAGTCGTTATGTGGGCATAGTTGCATTAAAATAATTTGGGAAGAATAAACATAAGACTGAATGATGAAATTAAGGGAGTTAGTTAAAAATAAAAGAAAAGACAAAGGTAGAATATGTCGAACTAACAGAATTTTTCTGAACAATTTAGGGTATGTTTGGTTTGAGTTTGGGAGATGAGTTTTAGAGATAAAAAGTACGAAAAGTTGTTTGGTTTGATTTTTTTTAAAAGATGTTTTGGAAAAATATTTTGAGAGAGAATTTTGAAAAAAGTGATTGATTTGATGTGTATGAGAGAGAGATTTGTTTGAAAATTTGTAAACCAAACAAGTTTTGAGAAAAATTTTTGGGAAAATTTGTTTGGTTTGATTACTTTTGAAAACTTATTTGTAGAGAATTTTTCTCAAAAATTTTTGGGAAACACAAACCAAACAAGGCCTTAGTAGTCTGCTTTATAATATTTGGTGGAAATTGATAATGTGACCTTTCTTTGTTGGAAATTATGATAGCATACATACTGGTCTCACACACTAGGTGGAAAGATGCACAAAAATAAGAAGGAAATTTACCATACTGGTTTCATACCTTAGCATTGTAAACTGATTTAAAATTCATATATATGTGTTCTAATTATTCTTCCAACTGATTTACCTGTATGGTTTCTGTATAGTTCTGTGATTTGTATATAATTTGAACTTTTGTCTTTTAGGTGTGAAGCATTTCCAACCTACCCTAGAACATATGATATGGTGCATGCTGAAGGACTGTTATCACTTCAAACTGGTCAGCATCGCAGGTGCACCATGCTAGATCTCTTCTCCGAGATAGATAGGCTACTTCGTCCAGAGGTACCCCAATCTTTTGTTCGTCTTTCTGTGTTCCATGTTTGATAGACATGGATTGATCTCCTTATTTTTAACAAATGGTTGAAAATTAAAACAACTGTGGCTAGGTAACACCAATATTTTTTTTTAGATTATGAATAACAATCACGCATCCAACATGTTTGTCCACCATTTGATGTTTCACAGGTAACACCTTTGAAAGTTAAATCTGTATATTCTAAAATGTATTGCTTAAAACAACTGACATTGAAGGATTACTTTCTGTATGCTTCCTGGTTATGTTGGCTTATACCTCTAGTCTACTGTCTAGGGTTTGAGGATTGGACTCTTGAGTGTATTTAAAATAGGCAGGCCTGAGGCCTTTGAGGAGAGAACCTGGGTATCATTTCTATGACTGGGTGCATTGTCCATTTATTTTTCTCCAACTTTTGTAAGAATGAAGGACAAAATTAAATCTTTGTTTTAAAACACCCTTGTGGATAATGTTACGATGTTTGTTGGCAAGTTTCTTACTCCTTGATCCCCAAAATTAATAATAAATTATTTAAACTAGGACAGCATAATTAGAATCCAAATGAAAATGGCATTAGGGGCTGTTCTGTTAAATGTGAGAAAGAGTACTAAATATTCCAGTGTGCAACAGTTACTTGTTGACCTTCAGATAGCCTTAAATTAATAATATTGGCAAAGAATGGTTCACTAGAACATAGTTGGAGAAAATGATGTCTTGTCTCGTGGATTGTAAATAAGGATGGTTAAACACTCAACGTCCCACTCCTGCAGTTCTTAGAATTGTAAATAAGGATGGTTAAACACTCAACGTCCCACTCCTGCAGTTCTTAGAGAGAAGTGCAAATTGCCTAATTTGACTGACAAATATCTATATAAATTAACAAAGAGAAAATACAAACGGTTAATGATATACAAATGATTAACGATGAGTATCGATGATTAATATTCAATCAGTTAAATATTTAGATGCTTGCTTTTTTGTATTCAATTCACTAGGTGCTCAGGAAACCTTCATGGTGTTTGAATCAACTATTTGCTTCACAGTGCATTTAAAATGAATCCATTGCATTTGGGTAATATTGGATATCCTAGATGACCATGGCATATAGGCACATTTTGCATTATGGTGGACAGTATTTCTTGAACCATGGGTGATTTGAAGTATTTGGGCAATCATTACATTATTGTTCATTTAAGGTCTCAATCTTCTGGAATGGCTAGATTCTTGTGGATAAACTTTCGTGTCGCAATAGTAGTTTATGAACCTTCATTTGGTCTGAACAAACACTCTGTGACCTCCAACTAAACTTCAATATTACTGTCTCCATTTTTCAAGAACTTTATCTATTGATGCTCCTTTTGTTTCTGCAATTGCAAGGCTTACACTCAAAATGCTCATACATACACCAGTTGTACACGTGCGAAGTTCATGTTTATTTGTTATGCTATATGGTTGAGTTGTTTTGCATGCTGTAACTCTGATTTTCTCTGAGAGCTCCTAAATACAATCCATAAATATCTCTCAATTACCCATTTGTACAAAAGTTATAATGCACGCGATGAGTGTATAGAGAAATTTAAAAGGGTGTATTTAGAAGGGCACCTAACAATCATGCTAATGACAGCCATTAAGGGTAGAAAAATGTCCAAGAATTTAAGAGTCTCATTGCATTTTTACACATCCCAAGCATTTTCACAAGTTTTATTCCCTTTTCACACATTTTCAATACATATTTTGCATGTCTACTGAGGCTAATGACAGCCTTTTGGGCAATCATTAACATTTTTCTTCACTAAATTTACTAATCTAAGTGCTGTGCAGGGATGGGTCATACTCCGTGACTCAGCTTCCATCATTGAAACATCAAGAGCTCTCACTACGAGGTTGAAATGGGATGCACGAGTCATAGACATCGAGAGTAACAGTGACGAGAAAATCCTCATTTGCCAGAAACCTTTATTCAGGAGACAAGTAAACTAAATTATGAACTTTGGAAGGGAGGAGCCAAAAATAGGTTGATCATTAAATTCATATTCATTTTTGTGGATCTTCTAAACAAAACATCATAAAGTCCCACCATTGGATTGCCAAGAATCCAAAGTTTTGGACAGAGTAAAAAAAGCAAAGAGAAGAAAGAAACAAGAGTTGGTCTACGTGGAGACAACCACACAACTCCTATGGAGCCGTAAGGTATTCATAGGGCCATGTAATTACACAATTGAGACAAGGTTGAGAAGTATAGGATTTATATTTAATTTACCTACCTTGTGATCTCTTGTTATAACTACAGAAGCACACAACGAATTAGGTTGTGAAGATGATTACAGAATAAGGATATTTCATTTCATTTTCTATACTATATAGAATGCTTGGCTACGTAATTACGTGGTGGAGTATTCTTTTCTTCTTTCCGGCATGCTTATTTTTTTGCAAATCGTTCACTATATGTTGCGAAAAGCTGTCTACCAGAGCATTTAGCGCAGGCTAGAAAATGCTAATGTGATCGGTTGTGCTTCCATGGTGGTTTATTTTCTCCATTAAGTAAAATCATCTCTCTGCCAGGGGCTTAAAGCCCGGTGACATTTCCCCACCTCTCTCACATACTAGAGGTTGGGATTTCGATTCTCGCTAAAGGTGAGGGAGGGGTGGGCAAGGGTTCCGTCAACTTATATTTGTATAACTAGCCACTCGTTTATTGGTTCACCTGGCTAAGTCGTTTTGCGAATCTCTTTCTTCATACTTTTAGGACTTGGCTAGATATATAAATTGTTTTATAAATATTAAAAATAATAACAATAAAACCAACCATCTCTCTGTCTCCTGAACTATTTACCATCTGAATATGTAATCAAAGTTGGAATCAACATACTAGAGGTAACAATTGGCAGGACTTGGATCCTCTGTTGTGATGCCCCTGCCTTGCTATGGTAAAAGCTAGACAGACACCGTAGCAAGTTGCTAATCCAACGGTTATTAATGTGTTTAAGAATGACTTTCTAGTTGTATGAAAAAATATAATGCTGTGTTTGGTTGGGGAATTTAAGGAGGGATTTAGAAATGAAAAGGGAAAATGTGTGTGAAATTAGGTGAAATGTAAGTATATTTTATTCACATTTCACTTAACTTTTTCTTTTCTCTTTTCAAATATCTCCGTAAATCTTCTAACCAAACACAGCGTAAATGATTGATATACATGATTTGTTTTTTTAGTAATTTTTTGAATTTTATTTAAATTTATAGGTGTTCTTTTTATTTAAAAGCTAAAAGCACATGTTGCCAAATGAAAGCAAACCACAAAAAGGAGTTATTTTGAGACTGAAACCCCCCACCCCCCACACCAAAAATGAATAAATAAAATAATAATAATTGAAACATCTCAAACTTAACCCCATTTCAAATCTACCTTTCTCTTCCCTTTCTTCTCTTAGTCCAAATCTGGGTAATTTAATTGTTATGGCACTACAACGGGAAATTATACCAATCGTCTTTATATTTTATTTCTTGTGTTATTTTATTCATTACATTTTTGATTGGTTCAATTTTGATATTTAATTTTAGATTTTGTATCAATTTGGTCTAATTAATAATATTATTAGTTTTTTTTAATAAAAATTATTATTAAATTGGTTGAGGTTAACTTATTGAATTGAATAAGTTTATAATTTTATCTTTAAAAATATGACACATGATATTTATGTACATATTTTTTATAATAAAAAAAAAAGTTAAAAGTTATTATCAATTGAACCAAATTAAAATAATGTCATAAATTTATTATTAAAATCGAGCTAATTAAAATTACAGAGATTAAAATGACATAAAAGTCAAAATACAAAACTCCCGTCGTCCTAATTATCTGGCTTTTGGAAAGAAAAAAAAAAATGTGATGAATCTTTCCTTCATCCTACTTGTCGTGGTTCAAATCTAGATAATTATTATAGTACTCAATCAAAAAGCCAAAAAAATAAAAAAATTCAAAAAGTTTTTTTCAAAAATAGAACTAATTTAGCCGAGTTAAATTAGCTAAAAGCCAAAAAATTAGATTAAAAAAGTTCTTCCCAACGAACTTTACTCAATCATATGAATATGTAAATTTAGGAGTTGCATAACCCAAAGCCACTGCTCACAAGATTCAACTTCATGTCTCTTCTTTCAGTTTTCACTCAAAACTCCACAATATCTTGAGAAGCAATTTATGGAGGGGATATACTGAAACATCATATTTCATCAGTTTGCTTGCACAAACATTGCATGGTATTTGTATTACTATACTATCTTTGTATGAATTTTTATTCTCCCAAACAACGATTTTTTTGCGAAAATTTTCACCTACTTTTAGATCGTAAAATTTTATTGATTCGCTAGTGAAAATTCACAATTTTTTTTAGCAAAATTTTATTGAGTTATAGTCAATGAAATTTCACTGATTTTAGTAAAATTTATTTGAATTGTAGTTAGTGAAATTTTAATAAATTTTAGTCAGTGCAAATTTGAGGATAGAAACTCAGTGAAAATTTCATCAATATTTTTTTCTTCATAATTTCAAGTTATAATATGTCTTGTCTTATTTGATAGATCTCGATAAAAAAATTTTAAATTACAAAAAACGAAAATCTAAATAAAAAGTTATTGAATTTTAAAATTTTCAAATGATCCTAAAACAAAACAACGTAACTAATGAAGCCTAGCATTGTGTCATAAAATGGCATCCAAAAATTTAGAGGACTTGAACTTAGAAATCTCCCAAGAAAAAAAAAAAAAAGAAATCTTTTTCTCATGTGTTTATATTTTATGAATTATGGCCAAAACTCCTAAAATTAATTTACAAACAAATTAAATAAATTCATGTAATTAACATTATTGAATATATTTATTTATTTATTTATTTTTCATTAAAGATTTACGCACAAAATAAATTAATGTGAACCCAAACAGTGTATATAATTGTGTATATAATCGTAGTGTTGGAATATCACCATGTCATTAAGACTTTTTTTATTTTGTATTTAATTTTTGTAGAACTTTTGTCCAAGCTCTGTCTAGGCTTATAGCCTTTGATAGAAAGATGTAAAATTTTGACGTATTGGTGTACAAATTTTCTATAATGTAACAATGATAGTAGACTACGAGGATTTTATGGTTTTATTTGTATATGTAAGTTTATTCTATAAATTGGCTTTGAAACCAACATAATAAAGCATGTAAATTATCTCCATCTTCGTTGCCTAAACTTCTTCTTTTGCCTACTTCATCTCTAACTCCATAACTCCTTCATAAATCCATAAGAAAAATAGTAAAAAGCTCATTTCCTTTTTGTTTTTGTAATTGGTATCAGAGCTTGGTAAAGAGGTTTTGAAAACAAGATCAAGCTATGTAAGTATTTCTATCTATGTATAAATTTTGATATATATAAGTATATATGATGTGCTTTATGTTAAAAAAAAAAATGGTCAAAGTTTTTAATTGTGTATCATTTGTATTTTATATCTTCAGAATTATTTGTTTCATTTATAGTTGTTATAAAACCTATATGCTTAGTGTATGTCAAAGCTCATATACTCTTTAAGATCTTGTGACTACTGGCCACAATTAAGTCGTTAAGATCATACAGAGAGGTTTTAGGCACCAGATAAATACACTAGGAGGGTCTTAGGTACCAACAACAATCTATAATGACAATTAACCTTGAAGAGATAATATGCTTTGGAAATACAAAAAATATTGTTAATAATAAATATGACCATAGTTTGCATATTACTAACGAGTCTAAAAATATAAATAGTGTGTTATAGTTTAAATAATATTATTGATATTATGTGTTCTTGGTTTTCTAAATTAGATAAAAATAAAAAAAAAATCAAAATTATCTAGAAACCAAAGTTAAGTCTATAAAATCTAAAATAGACAATTTGAGTTCTATAATAAATATTGACTTAAGCAAAGAAGCAAAAAACCAAATAAACAATTTGGTGACAAAATTAGAAACTATATCCTTCATAAACAATGATGGAATGAATAGTCCAGGAGATAATTATATTCCTAGGCTATTTTATGGTACAGAAGATATTATGGTACTTCAAACCAATACCTATAATAGGACTAAATATGAAAATATTGTTGAAATATTAGATTATTGGAGAAAATTATATAAAGACCCGGATTTAGGTATTGATGAAAAAAATAGGCTACTAGATCAGATAAGAGAAACTTATATAGAACATGAAACCCTTTTACAACACTTTAATTATGATATTAATATGTCAACTAATGATGATGACAGTCAATCATCCTCATCTAAAGAAACATTAGATCAAGATATTTCACCAGAAATAAATAAAGGGAAAAGAAAGGCAGAAGAGTCAATTGATCCCAAATTATTTGGCACATGGGGAGATGGAGAAAATTTTGACTTTATTCAGACAAATGAAGTTAAAAATGATACTAACATTGGAAGTACCTCCAATCCTACACTTGAGCCAGTAATATCTAGAAAAGATAATAATCATAAGTATCCAATAGCTCAAAATGATACTTATTTAAACTTGTCTCATGTTCCATTTAAGGATCAAGAACAAGCAATTGATGATTGGGTACAATCATTGTCCATCATTATTACCAATTATAAAAATAGTTGGTCAAAGGAAATATTTCTTGATTATATTGCAGCAACTCTTTAGGGAGATGTGTTGCAATGGTTAAGACAGTGGGAAAAATCTGAAATTGAAAAAAGTCAAAAAATGGTTTTGTTGACAAATTTTCTTACACTTGACACAATTTTAGCTGAATTTGCAAAAATCATAAAAGAAAATTTATGTGATTTTGCAGGAGATACTAATTTGCAAGCAGATGCAAATTATATTTTGACTAAATCAGAACTATGTAATATTTGTCTTTTTGATGACTATGTTCAAACTTTTAAAAAATATTATTATTTTATTGATCCACTAGCAAATCAGTCATGGCTAGATCAATTTTTCTATAAACTCCCTAATTCATGGAATGAGTTATGTATTAAAACATATCCTGATTTTCTCAAAAAAATTGAAAAAGAAGAATATGATAATCTTGGTTTTCGCAATTATGCCTAAATTGCACCCATCTAGTCTATGCGGATAGGAGGACGTCTAAATATGGCTCATCATCTAATAAAGATAAAAGACACGAATGACGTGATTACCTATAAATGTGATTGTTCATAAACAATATGTGATCATCATGTGGGCACATCACTTGCTTGCTTGTCTTAGTTCCATTTTGTTTGTACATTATCAAGCGTGGACATAACATAAGTTTTTTAAATAATAAAATTCACAAATGTTTGGTTTGGATTTTAGAATTATTTTAAAAAATAAAAAAATAATGATAAAATTAGTGAAAAATCCATTTTAAATAAGGTATAAGACGTTAGGTTCCATG